AGTGAGACTCTGTCTCAAAAAAAAAAAAAAAAAAGTAAAAGAGTAAAGAAAAAAAGGGAGGGAGAGAAAGAAATGCTCACTTTGAAATCGCTATGAAGGGATCCACTTAGGTTATAGCTTTTAGATATTGTCAAGACACAAACAGTAATTGAATCTTTTGCTATTATCAATCTAAGATCTGTTACAAGTAGAAGAAATGTAACTTCATTACCAAGACAGGACAACTGAAATTGGCATATAAAAAAAATGTGGGTTAAGGATTAAAAACAGGGAAGAATAGAAATAAATATAAGAGCATATTTTAATAATCTTGGGACAGGCAAGGCCTTACTAAGCATGATGAAAAACTCAGCCTTAAAAGGAAAACTTGAACAAATTTAACTAAAACAGAAATAAGACCTTCCTCAAGGTAAGACACCATTAATATAGTTAAAAGATAAACTATGGGAAAGTATATATAACATATAATATATACCATTAATATAGATAAATAAGAATTGGCAAAAGAAAAAGTCCACAGAAAAACAGGCAATTATATAAGGATTTATAACTATATAACCAACATATAACATACAATGATGAAAGAAATGATATTTCTTCAGGCTGAGAACAGTGGCAACATAGCAAGACCCTCATCTCAAAAAAAAATCACTTAGAACTTAGCACCCAGTGTGTTTCCCTCTTGGTGCTAGTTGCTGGAAAACTCAAAATTCAAGTGAATGACTGATAGTTAATTGGCCTTATCTCTTGGTGACAACTGTTCTATAAACAGAATAAAGAAAAAATAAAAACAAAAAAGTTTTATGTTATGTTTAATACCACAAACTGCCTTAAATTCTTTTTGAGAAACAGGCATCTTATTAAATATTATTAAATTCTAAAATAAATGTTTCTCACTCTTTATTTGGTACTCCCTTAATACCAGATACCAATATCAACAACTTCCTAGAATGTCATCAACTCACTACTCTGCTAACTCAACCTCAGGGCTGATTTTATCACTTTCTCTTTCTTGAGGAGGCCTTGAGTCCAGTAGGACTTGGATTGAAGGCCCCCAGGGGAGCTGTTAACATAGAAACTCTTTAGGTTAGCCACTATTAATCACTGCGTTTTCTTTTAGGTGAGAGAGAAGAGAAAGAAGATGGCTTGGGCCATAAGTTAGTCCATTCTCAATGAAAGTGATAGGCAAAACGTCTTAATATGGAAAATAGAATGACTTATTAGCATTTTGGAATTAGTTCTTCATAGTGAGGATTCACTGATTTGGAGGGTTTTGAAAATTCTTAAGGTTGTAGAAAGCAATTTTAAGATAAAGATATGTTAAGCCCAAACAAATCTATTCCATTGATAGAGAAATAGAAAGCTGGCTGTATTAACCATGGTGTTATACAGTTCATGCATTAAAATTAAATAGTTTAGTCCCAGTAAGAACGTAATTTTATCTACATACCTTCAGTTCATTAACCAAATTGTGTTCTTCAAAATGTTTCTTTTTTCTCTCAATATATTGATCAATGGACTCCATTTCCTTAAAATGAGCCTCATGAAGCTTCTTAAAGTCTAGAATGTCACCCCGAATATGAAAATTAATAACAAGACAAAATCCACTCATTTACTTCCTGTGTTTTTCTGGTAACACTTATCCTCTTTTTTGCATCCCTGACATTCAATTTCAACATAATTTTTGCCAAAACTTCAAAATATTTAGTTTTTGGAAAATCAGGGGCAAAACATATTCCTCTTATAACTAAACATTTGCTATCTGTCCATTTTATTTTACTAACTGACATTTTGGATTAGTCCAGAGAATAAGAGTAACAGATTTATCTTCTCCAGTTAGTCAAATGGCTTTTATTTAACTGTCATAAATTTGATATTCTATAATACTTAGAAAGCTCTATGCCAAGGACTGACAAACTTTTTCTGTAAAGGGCTAAATAAAAAGTATTTTAGGCTTTGTGGCCATGTATGGTATGGTCTCTGTCTCTTTTTTTAAAACTTTAAAAATGTAAAAACCGGCTGGGTGTGGTGGCTCATGCCTGTAATCCTAGCACTCTAGGAGGCCGAGGTGGGAGGATCGCTTGAGGCCAGGAGTTCAAGACCAGCCTGAGCAAGAGTGAGATCCCCGTCTCTACTAAAAGTAGAAAAATTAGCTGGGCATGGTGGCTCACACCTGTAGTCCTAGCTACTTGGGAGGCTGAGGCAGGAGGATCACTTGAGCCCAGGAGTTTGAGGTTGCTGTGAGCTAGGTTAATGCCATGGAACTCTAGCCCGGGCAACAGAATGAGATTCTGTCTCAAAAAAAAAAAAAGAAAGTGAAAATCATTCTTATCTCAAAGGATGTAAGATAGGCCAAGGCAGGCAGTAGTTTGCTTACCCCTGCTCTATGCCATTATAATATTCTAATTAAGTATATAAACATCGACTGAATCTCTAATATATGATCAACAGCATTCTAACTACCTTAAATATATAACAATCAACATTCTATGTGCCAAGCAGCGTTCCAGCAATATAAGATAGAGAAGAATTACATATCTAAAAATGGAGGCCCTTAGATTTATGAGAAACTATTACAAGGTGGGCTTTATGTCAAGTACTTCATAGAAATTCATTCATCGGATTTTTTTTTTTTTTTTTTGGAGACAGAGTCTCATTCTGTTGCCCGGGCTAGAGTTCTATGGCGTTAGCCTCGCTCACAGCAACCTCAAACTCCTGGGCTCAAGCGCTCCTCCTGCCTCAGCCTCCCAAGTAGCTGGGACTACAGGCATGCGCCACCATGCCCGGCTAATTTTTTCTACATATTTTTAGTTGTCCAGATAATTTCTTTCTATTTTTAGTAGAGATGGGGTCTCACTCGTGCTCGGGCTGGTCTTGAACTCCAGACCTCAAACAATCCTCCTGCTTCAGCTTCCCAGATGCTAGGATTACAGGCATGAGCCACCACGCCCGGCCCATTAGATTTGTTTTTAAAGATAGGATCTTGTGTGTCACTCAGGCTGGAATGCAGTGGTGCGATCACAGCTCACTGTGACCTTGAACTCCTGGGCACAAAGTGATCCGTCCACCTCAGCCTCTTGAGTAGCTGGGACTATAAGACACACACCATCATGCCTGTCTCATGCATCAGATATTTACTAAATCCTGGATATGGGCTATTTGCTGTGCTAGGTAATCAGTAGTGGAAAAAATATTCTCAATTAATCTATATATCAACCTGATGAAATATGCGCTGTAGTAAAATTATTTACACTTGACACTGAGGAAGTAGGTTTATTGAGGATAAATAAGTTGCTCAAGATCTCAAAGCTAGAAAATGAGAGAACGAGAATGTAAACCCTAGTTTCAGCATTTAAACTTTTAGCTGTTCCAATCCACTGCCTTTCCAACATCAGTCTAAAGTGGGCCAACCATTACTTTATGTATCTTTGTGTATAAAACTTACTTGGAGTAGTGATTGCAGTTCTTTTGTTTTTTCCACGTTTGTAAAATTCATCTCTGTAGGGAGACTTCTTTCTTTCTGAAAATACCTTTGAATCTTCATTACCTAAATCCAAAGACACAGAACAAAGAAGGATTTCAAAAAATTTAAGAAATGTCTGCAAGTTAACAGAGCATTTTTATACTGTAGGCTCTGCCACCGTGGTGGTAGAAATGGTACATAAGGAACACAAAGAATTACAGCATTACTACCATATTAGCTCATAAGCTTCAAGCGGGCAGAAATTTTATGCTGTCTGTATAGAAGTTATATAAACATACCAGAAAGTTAAATAAAACTTTTTCAGAATTTTTACTATGAATATGTTATCATTATAACTAGAGTGATGAAAATCACAAAATCCCAACAGCCAAAGAAATACCATCAGCATTTTGGCATATTTCCTCTGGTTCTCTGATTCTATACTTATTTTTAAAGAGACAGGTCTCGCTATGTTGCCCACGCTGGCCTTGAACTCCTGGGCTCAAGCAATTATCTTGCCTCAACCTCCTGAGTAACTAGGACTACAGATCTGTGCCACCACATCACTTACTTACTTACTGATTTATTTATTTTCGAAAAAGGGTCTTGCTGTCTTCCAGGCTAGAGTGCTGTGGCCTGCTCACTGCAACCTCAAACTCCTGGACTCAAGTGATCTTCCTGCCTCAGACTCCCAAGTAGTTGGGACTACAGGCGCATGCTACCATACTGAGCTATATTTTTCTATGTTTTGTAGAGATGGGGATCTCGCTGTTGCTCAGGCTGGTCTTGAACTCCTCGGCTCAAGCAATCCTCTTGCCTCAGCATCCCAATGTGCTGGGATTATAGGTGTGAAGCACTGTGCCCAGACTAGAGCACTTTTTTTTTTTTTTTTTTTTTGAGACAGAGTCTCACTCTGTTGCCCTGGCTAGAGTGAGTGCCATGGCGTTAGCCTAGCTCACAGCAACCTCAAATTCCTGGGCTCAAGCGATCCTACTGCCTCAGCCTCTCGAGTAGCTGGGACTACAGGCATGTGCCACCACGCCCGGCTAATTTTTTCTATATATTTTTAGTTGTCCAGATAATTTCTTTTGATTTTTTTTTAGTAGAGACGGGGTCTCGCTCTTGCTCAGGCTGGTCTCGAACTCCTGAGCTCAAACAATCCGCCCCCTCGGCCTTAGAGCACTTTTAAGAAGACAGATGTACCTGGAGAGAATGCCATATGATAACAGAAGCAGAGAGTGGAGCCATGCAGCTGCAAGCTAAGGAACACCAGGCATCAATAAGAATCACAAGTCAGGGAAAGGCAAGGAAGGATTCTACTCGTCATCTCAGAGAAGCATGGCTCTACTGACACCGTGATTTTAGACTTCTAGCCTCTAAAACTATGAGAGAGTCAATTTCTGTTGTTCTAGCCTCTGAAAGTATGAAACAATCAATTTCTGTTGTTTTAAGCTACCCAGTTTGTGGTATCTTATTATAGCAGTCCTAGGAAACTAACTTACATGGCTATAACTAGCAATTTTTTTTTTTTTTTAACATTACTTGGCATACCATTTATTCCACTTTTTCCTGAGGAAACTGCATTCTCAGCTCCTTGGCTCTCATCTGATGGAGAAGGGGTAGAGCTCAGATCTTGGTTTTCCTGCTTTTCACGATTCTGGAATTCAGTAGGATCACTTATTTTTATCTGTGAATGATCCTGCTAATTTTAAAAGGAAATAAAAGATTTAGATGATAAGTAATTGCTGCCTTCCAAACATAGCTGCCAAAATGAAGGGAGGAAGAGGCTAAAGGAATAAAAGTAGGAGAATGAGACTTCTGAGTGGTGGATTTTGGTCTCTGCCCCACCAAGTATCAAGAGAATGTAAATTTAGGAATAGGAGACACTAGGGAACATTGGAAGGCATCAAAGAAATTGTAAAATTATCTCTCTTAGGGATGATAAGCTAACACTGATATATAGTCTACTAACCAAAGGACTATATGAAGCTAGAAAATAAAAAATTAAGACTGTCTGGTAAAAGTTAAATTTAAATGGAAGGATAAGATAGAACAATAAAATTAGAATCAAAGCAAATGAGGGAAGGCCCTTGCTAATCACATGACCATAGTGCTGAAAGACTAAGTACATGGTGATCACCAGGCAGGGGTCAATTTAGGAAAGAGAATTCAATGAAAAAAATCATAGTTGATACGGGTTTCTCTTCTTATTTACTACACCTCATTTAAGTGAACACTTAGTGAAAGTACCTATTTATTCAAATATTTATTTGTGCTTAATACTTAAGAAGTACTTCTTGAGTGCCAGGCCCTGGGGTGCGTTAAGCAGGTAAACTTGGTCCTGGGCCTTCATGGAGCTTATAGCACACAGTGAACTTACAACCACCTGATATCATAAGGAAATTTAAAAAAGAAGCTCCTTAAGAATGTGCCAGTTTGGCACAGGTGGTGGCTTATTTTCAGTCTGTACACTTCCATTCACCTGGGAGTCAGGGTTCCCATGGACTGTCTTGCGCCTTCTCCTTGTTTTGGTGACATGGCCAGCTGGCTCTCTCTCACCTTGTTCCTGATTGTTAATCTCAGTCTCATCACAAGAGGATGCAGAAGTTTGACTTTCATCCTGAAAAGAGAGACATTAATCTGCCACGTCCTATGTACAGAGGTATAATGCTTAGGAAGAATCAGAATTTAAACTGAATAAAAAACATATTGCATATACAAAAGATAATTTTTTAAACTCTCTAGCAATAAATTATAGGCAAGGACAAGAATTACAGAGTATTTAAAAAGAAACAATCACATTTAATAACCCAAGATAATGAACTAGGCTGGGAAAGCATTCCAAGTTATCTTAGTGGGAATAAATTAAGATAATTATTAAAAATGCATTACGGCCGGGCGCGGTGGCTCACGCCTGTAATCCTAGCTCTCTGGGAGGCTGAGGCGGGCGGATTGTTTGAGCTCAGGAGTTCGAAACTAGCCTGAGTAAGAGCGAGACCCCGTCTCCACTAAAAATAGAAAGAAATTAATTAGACAACTAAAAATACATAGAAAAAATTAGCCGGGCATTGTGGCGCATGCCTGTAGTCCCAGCTACTCGGGAGGCTGAGGCAGGAGGATCGCTTAGAGCCCAGGAGTTTGAGGTTGCTGTGAGCTAGGATGACGCCAGGGCACTCTAGCCCAGGCAACACAGTGAGACTCTGTCTCAAAAAAAAAAAAAAAAAAAAGCATTAAGTTATTGAATATACACTATGTGCCAAGCACTGTGTTATTAGCTAATAATAATTATAGCGAGTATTATAACTTTACTGGGTTAAGTGTTTACGTGAATTATCTCATTTATTCCTTAAAGCCTATGAGATAGGTATTATTATCCCCCATTCACAGATTAGGAAACTAAACCTCTGAGAGCCCAGAATAACTTATCAAAGGTAAAAATAACAGAGTAAGGTGAAAATCACTTGAATCACCATAAACTAAAAGTAAAATGCTACAAAATGAAAACAGTGTGGTCAGGTACCAGAACATCCAAAATAGACCTGCTTATGTAAGAAATCATTGTATGATAATGGTTGCACTTCATATTAGTGGGGGAAGATTGGATTCATTATTCAACACATGATGTGTGGAAAACTAACAATGTTTTTATATTTTTGGTGGCTCGAAAAATTGGTTATTCTCTCACACCAAAATGAAATCTGGATGGATTAAAGATTTAAATGTAAAAAGTAAAAAGTAAAAGCTTAAAAGCACTAGAGAAAAAATAGGTGAATATATTATCATGAGTGTGAGGAAGGCATATTATCTTACCTAGAAACTATAAAGGCTTGATTTGGTTTTAATGTTTTTGTATTTTGTTTTAAGTAAATTCTAAT